CCACTTATTTATTTTTGTTGCTGCGGCGATTGCTTTGGGGTTCTTCTTAGAATAGGATTTTTTTGATATTCTAAAACAAGGGGAAAATAAGTGAAAGCCAAATATTATGCCATATATTTGCAAGTTTTACATGCTCTTCATAAAATTGAACCTACCGTGAAATCATAATGAAATTATTACTTGTTGTTTATTTATTACTTTATTGCAAAAGGAGAACTTACTGCATTCAATATATTTTGACAAAGATAATAGAGTAGGCAAGGGAAAATATGAGAGAACAATTTCAACTCATTTGGCAGTGTAGTGTACTGTCAGGAATGTTTAGATATTACTGACTTGCCAGACTGGTTATTTGTACTGAGAGTTACTCTCTAAAATGTTTCCAACCTGACTGAAAATGAATCAATATTTACTGATGAAAGAATATACATCTTTGAAAGAGGCAGACAAACTCTGAAATTGGTCTCTTACCACCTGAAACTCCCATCAGTGTATAGTCTGTGGAATATAGAACAAAATAGCATTACCTTTGACTTTTAATTGATTTTAGTTGTTGGAAGACACTAAACTAATCAATAACAGTAATAATGGCAGGAACTAAGGTCTCATGTTTGGAAGTTCAGTAAAAAATATTATCTGTATTCAAAGCAATGTGAAGGTAATAGGCACAAGTTCTCTACCATAAATTGCCTCCCAAAATAGCTACAGTGACTTGCAAATCAATATAAGCCCCAAACAATGAAAGATATGCAGAATCTTCCAATTGAGTTCAACAGCAGAAAGTGGTTATAAAATAAATATGAGATGGTGCCATGCACCTTCCTACCTGCTTGCCTTCCACGGACCCAAGCTGAGCAGGTGCCCATCAGCCTTCAGTATTTGCTGCCAACATCTTGCCACATTGATATTAATAGCACTGCCACTGCCACCTGGGTAGCAAGGCAGCAGCTTCCACAGATAAACTTGGGCAGAAGGAGATCCCCAGCTGTTGCAACTAACTCCCTGGCAGGGCACTGGCATCTTCCCAGCCCTGGCAGCTATGGGTGGCCCAGCTGCTGTGGCCCAACAAGCCACCCCACCACTAGCTGTAGTTCTGTAACCCACTCAGATCCCAACCAACACCCCCAACTTGTCCAGGCTCCCACCAAGGTCCCACAACCCATCTAGGTGACAGCCTATGTCTCATGACCCACCCAGGAACCTGCTAAGTCCTGCAATCCACTCTGCCACTGGATGCAGTCCAGTGATGCATCCAGGTATCCACCAAGGTCTTGCAACCCTCCCAGATGCTGGCTAAAGTCACACCACCTACCTCCATGGACATGGGCTTGCCCAGTTCCCTGCCCAAGCTTTCAACAACAACATAGGGACCAACCCAGCAATCTGAAAGAATATCCCCCAACACCAGCTTAGAATGTAATAAAAACACAGGAATGGGACAATGCAAGGGAATAGCTCATTACAGGCTCTTAGTGCATCTGCCCCTCTCTCTGTGGGTCAATCCCCTGGAGGAGGACACAGAAGTGCTCTCTAGGGATTTCTCCTCCTTCTCACCAAGTAGGAGAGTTCTGAGCAAAGGAGAACAAGTACACCACAAACCTATCATCCTTGAGCTGAGAAAAGATGTTTCAGATGAGAAGAAATCAGCAAAAGAATTCTGGCAACATGAAAAACAAGTTATTCTGCCACCCCCAAAGGATCACCATGAATCTACATCAATGGACCCCAAACAGAAGGAAATTGTCAAAATGTCAGAAATGGAATTCAGAATATGGATGGCAAATAGGATGAATGCAATTGAAAAAGTTGAAAATCAACAAAAAGAAACCAAAGAAAAAAATTTTTAAAACATGAGTGAAATATATGAAAAACTCACTAAAGAGGCAGACAACATAAGAAAGGATATAACAGAATTTAAAGGAATGAACAAGTCATTTAGGGAATTACAAAATACAGCAAAAAGCTTCAAAAACAGACTAGACCAAGTAGAAGAATCTCAGAACTTCAAGACAAGGCTTTTGAACAAACTCAGACAGTCAAACATGCATTAAAAAGAATAAAGAAGAATGAATAATCAGAGAAACATGGGACTATGTGAAATGAGCCAATATACAAATTATCGGTATCACAGAGGGAGATGAACAAAAGCAAAATGCATGGAAAACCTATTCAAGGGAATTATTGAGGAGAACTTCCCTGGTATCAACAGAGATTCAGATATCCAGATACAAGATAATAATCAAACACCAGGAAGATTCATAGCAAATAAGACATCTCCAAGACACATAGTCATCAACCAGGCCAAAGTCATAAAGAAGGAGAAAATTCTACAAATTGCAAGATGAAAGCAACAGCGAACCTACAAAGGCAAACCCATCAGGCTAACAGACTTCTCAGCAGAGACCTTACAAACCAAATATAGCCCCATCGTTATTCTTAAATAGAACAACAGCCAGCCAAGAATGTTGTATCCTGCAAAACTAAATGTCATAAATGATGAAGAAATAAAGACCTTTCCAGACAAGCAAACACTAAAAGAATTTGTCACTGTTACACCTGCCTGACAGGAAATGCTCAAAACTGCATTATAAATGGAACAGCACAATAGATACTAGCCAGTGCAAAAATACCCAAAGTTCAAGCTCACAATTTGAACCTGGCCTCTCGGTTGAAGGCTCTGACCGCTGCATCTGCTGCGCCGCTCCTCCCAGGATGGCTACCCTTATTGTAAACAAGCCGGGAGCGGGACTAGACAGTGGCCAGCAGGGCAGCCAGGGGACGGCTGTGGTGAAGGTGCTGGAATGTGGAGGCTATGAAGATGCCTTTTCTTTGCAGGGAGACAAAGTTCCTCGCCTTCTGCTTTGTGGTCACACAGTCTGTCATGACTGTCTCACCCGCCTACCTCTTCATGGAAGAGCAATCCATTGCCCATTTGATCGACAAGTAACGGACCTACGAGATTCAGGTGTCTGGGGATTGAAAAAAAGTTTTGCTTTATTGGAGCTTTTGGAACGACTGCAGAATGGACATGTTGGTCAGTATGGAGCTGCAGAAGAAGCCATTGGGATATCTGGAGAGAGCATCATTCCTTGCGATGAAGATGAAGTTCACGTTGCATCTGTATATTGCACTGTGTGTGCAACCCACTTGTGCTCAGAGTGTTCCCAAGTTACACATTCTACAAAGACATTAGCAAAACACAGGCGAGTGCCTCTAGCTGATAAACCTCATGAGAAAACCATGCGCTCTCAGCACCAGGTGCATGCCATTGAGTTTGTTTGCTTAGAAGAAGGTTGTCAAACTAGCCCACTCACGTGCTGTGTCTGCAAAGAAACACCAAGGTCACAAGCTTTCAGTCACAAGCTTGGTGGAAAACACCAAGGTCACAAGCTTTAAGTATTGGAACCAGAAGCTAATCAGATCCGAGCATCAATTTTAGATATGGCTCACTGCATACGGACCTTCACCGAGGAAATCTCAAAGTATTCCAGAAAATTAGTTGGAATTGTTCATCACATTGAAGGAGGAGAACAAATTGTGGAAGATGGAATTGGAATGGCTCACACAGAACACGTACCAGGTACTGCAGAGAATGCCCGGTCATGTGTCCGAGCTTATTTTTCTGATCTACATGAAACTCTATGTCGTCAAGAAGAAATGGCTCTAAGTGTCGTTGATACCCATGTTTGTGAAAAACTGATTTGGCTCAGAAAACAACAAGAAGATATGACTATTTTGTTGTCCCAGGTCTCAACAGCCTGCCTTCATTGTGAAAAGACTTTGCAGCAGGATGATTGTAGAGTTGTCTTGGCAAAACAAGAAATTACAAGGTTACTGGAAACATTGCAGAAACAGCAGCAGCAGTTTACAGAGGTTGCAGATCACATTCAACTGGATACCAGCATCCCTGTCACTTTTATGAAGGACAATAGAGTTCACATTGGACCAAAAATGGAAATTTGAGTTGTGACATTAGGATTAGACAGTGCTGGAAAAACTACTATTTTGTTTAAGTTAAAACAGGATAAGTTCATGCAGCCCATTCCAACAATTGGTTTTAATGTGGAAACTGTAGAATATAAAAATCTGAAATTCACTATTTAGGACGTAGGTGGAAAACACAAATTAAGACCATTGTGGAAACATTATTATCTCAATACCCAAGCTGTTGTGTTTGTTGTTGACAGCAGTCATAGAGACAGAATTAGTGAAGCACACAGTGAACTTGCGAAGTTGTTAATAGAAAAAGAACTCCGAGATGCTTTACTCTTGATTT